AATAGTGGGCAAGTGGTGGGTATATTGCATGTAGGTGATAGTATGGTGATAGTTAGTCTTTGACGCAACTTGTTCCTGGATCGTATTCAGTGTTCAGATATATCACTTACCTGTACCGTCTTCATGCCACATTGTTGTATACGTTTCACTGCAGCCGTCTATATCGCAGGCTTGTTCAAACCTGACAAACCTCGATTCAATTAAAAGATCATCCTGCTGAATTTCAACCGTCCTGGGTACAGGGATCTCAGCATCACAAACGTTTATAGAGCGAAGTTCATAGAGCGTTCATAGAGCGAAGTGTAAATGACGGCTACAGGGTCTTTTTCTGGGTGTCTTCGTTGGCCGGCCCTTGTCTTGGTAGGCAAGTGTTGTAGGGTCTAGTAGAATCAGTTCATCGGCCGTCAGCAATCGCTGTTTGCGTTCAGGTTAAACTTAACTTTTCAACGTGGAGTGCAAATTATCGCTCTGGGGCGGTACCAGGTGGTAGTTCATGATCCAGTTATACAATCGTGAACAAAAATATGTTGTAGAACCCGTGAACTAGTCATAGAGTCATCGCTGTGTACAAAAAGGCTAAGCCTGCACTCGTGGATGTTTTATAATGCTGTTGCCTTCGAACATATATTCATCACAAGAGACCGTGGGTCAACCCAATTGAAGTTTTGTTTTGGATCCCATCCAGGGATTCAGAAGTGGTTTCTGTCAGAGGCACAAAACTACGCAGTTATTCCAAAGTGGGGCCGAAGCCAACAAAAAGTCAGCCAGGACCTTCAAGGTGACCCTTTTCATCCCTGGGCTTGACTCCAAACAGGTCCCTTCGAAGGTCCTGGAGCGTGATTTTCTGGGTTGATTCCGCCCTGGCTAACGGTCGGTTCGTGCCAGAAGCTATGGGTCTCCGCGCCCAAACGGTTTTATCGTCGCAAGGTTTGGAGTGTTTGGGCCCCTTTGTTTGGGCAGCCTAAGCCTAAGCAATTTTCTTCGTTGGCAGAGGATCTAGCCCCCTTTTTCTCTCCATGTGTTTGTTATGTTTTGCAGGTGGGTTGAATGAAACCATGTTGTGCAACGGTTCTGCTTTGTTGTTGTTGTTGTTGTTGCTGTTGTTGTGATGTCCCCTTTGGTGGACACGACTTGCCGAGTGTTAGTGCCGTTCCTCGCTTGGGAGGGAAGTCCTGCTCACGCGGCCACTTCTTGGGTCATTCTCACCACTCACCAGACACAAGAACTCAAGGGGATGAAGTCTTCAAGACGGGTTTATATCTACTGGGTCCTCAAAGTCCATGTCTCCACTTTTGCTGCGCATCCCGACTCGGTTCCAACAGCCAAGCAGGATTGAGCCCTGTGTCTGGAGGATCGAGTCCAAGTGCTCAGGCTCCCCTCATGGAGTTTTTGTTGCCACGACTATCCATGACTCATTTTTGGAGTCATATGCCTGAGGGCCATCGATGATCAGGCCATCGAACCCACGCAGAAGGTCAGATCCGAGAAAGCAGGAGTGGCTGATGCTCACAACCCGCAGGATGAATCACGAAACCGTACCTAGTAACTAGTAGCTAACTCCTTGTTGCCTTTTTATTATAAGAGAATGACAGTTTGCAACGTTCGTGTGGTGTTTCCCAGGTCATGACTGCAGCATTGTGCAGTAGGTTCTATATGTGACAAAGTCAGTTTTGGGAAGCTGTTATGCCTGCTGAGTCCACACAGGGGAGATCTTGACCTGGCTTACAGCTGCAAGTCAGCAGGGCCTGACGCAATACATCAAATAAATATCAGGTTCATATCCTTCCGTCATGACAAAACACCATCCCCAGGCAGGAGCGAAACATTTGTTGATGGCTGAACCGTGAAGGCAACGCTGAACGCGCAGCGCTGAAGCCGCTGAACGCTCGCAAAAACTCAAGAATATCCACCCCACTGCGCTTGTCAAGCACAGCTGTGCCGCACACAGCAACGATTTTCATGAGACTCTGAGCCCAGTCCGACAGGTGCTGCCTGAAAAGTCTCCACCAGCCAGCCTAAGCGCAGAGCAGTAGCCAATGGATTTGTCGGGCCGAGGTCACGTAAAATCCTCCAAAGCTGGCCAATCAGTAGTGTGGGCTCTTTTGCACACCTGTCAGCCAGGCCTTTTCAGAAAGGTATGTGTAAGGGTGTGTATGTTGGAACGGTCTCATGCTTACAGCGTGCTTTTCTGAAACAACGCATAAAGCAGAACTCGTGGACCCGAGACAGAATCTAGGCCATCTGCTTCGAGACACTCTCCACGCCCCAGGAGCGCTTCTTTGGCGCCAAAAACGAGGAGGCCTGAAAAGCGGAAAGTAGACTCCAAGTATTGCAATGGACGCCCACCCGTGAACACAGAACGGCGGGTTGGACTTTATTCAGAGAAACGCGAGGCTGGCGACAGTCCATGTTTGGTGAGACTTGACAACCACAAACTCAGGTAATCTAAACGTATATACGTTGTATAATTTTTCAGTTACTATCACGAGCACCGTGAAAAAAGTGATGTGCGCGAACATAAAGCAGCCGGATGCCAGGCCATGAAAAAGTGGGCGGACGGACAGCAGCTTGGTTCCATGCCGAGACAACCTCGGTGTTTCAGGTGCATCACATGTACATTGACAAACAGCCAAATTGACATGACATGATTCATGTAAACTGACTGCAGAGTAGGTGAAATATGAGGTATTTACCGCCAGGTGTTTTCTAGGTTGTTCCTGTTTGCTGTGTGTTGTTCCAACCGCATACGGTTTCTAGTTGTTAATTCCGTTTTGCGCAGCTCTGATTGCACAAAAATACACAGGCTTCAACTGTGAGGGGGTATGTTCTAAGGGGGTGGTTGTCAAAATTGCAACATTTCCCTCAAGGACCATCTTCTCAATACTCAACAGAACCTGATGTCCTTTTCACCCTTTAGGTCCAATAGTTGCCATGCAAAGGGGCATTTTACACTTGCCACCAGTGTGCCAAAGGTCCGACACTGAGGGGATTCCCTCCCAGCCCACCTAGGCGTGCTGCGTACAAGGATGAATCCTCAGAAAAGGGCAAGGAACCAAAACGACGGCCGTGTTGTCGGATTCAGAAGTCCTGTTGGGAGGGTATCTTCGCCGATGCGTTGTTCCATAGCACGAAAACAGATTGAATCACTGCGTCGCTGCAGTGTTTATCATCTACTGCAACAATTTTGTTTGCTGAGTGGCTGGTTCGCTGATTGATTTGATTTGATTTGATTGATTCAATGAATTGACTGATTGACTTGATTTGATTTGATTGAATTGATTGGTTAGTAGATTTGGTTGATTGATTTGGTTTGATTTGATTTGATTTGATTTGATTGATTGATTGATTGGTCGGTTGGTTTGATTTGATTGATTGATTGATTGATTGGTTGGTTGGTTGGTTGGTTGGTCGCTTGCTTGCTTGCTTGCTTGATTTGATTTGATTTGATTTATTTTTAATTGATTTGATTTGATTTGATTGGTTGGTTGGTGGCTTGATTGATTGATTGATTGATTGATAGATTGATTGATTGATTGATTGATTGATTGATTGATTGCCTGATTGAGTGAGTGATTCATGTTTGTCATATTTACTCACGTGTTTTTATATTTAGTTTTTCTTTGCATGCATGATCATTGACAAATCTCATGGATTGACCACAACAAGGCAAGTCGGACTTCGACGGTCATGGAATGACCTCCTCAGGTTCGGCTGCAGTGGATGGCTAAAGTTTCAACTCCTTTGATCTTTAAGACTACCGGGTGCCTGAATGTTTGGCCATCTTTGAGGCCAAAAGCTCGGAGGTCGTTGTTTGGTTCGAAAGTGGAGGTTCATAGATTAAAGGAGTGCAACTGTACAACACCCAGGCTGCTCATGTTGTGTAATTGCTGGCTGGTGAAGCGCGAAGCGCGGCATGTGTTTGTTTGTGTCGCCTTGTTTGTTTGCGAAGCTCTTTAGACACTGCGGGGGGCTGTTTGTTTAAAAGAGTAAGTAACTTTACACCAGTCAGCAGTGACGAGTCTAGGACACACAGCAAGATGTTTGCCATGAAAGGCACAAACTGCAAAACAAATGATCTTTCGGGAACCTGAAAGGGACATGTTCTGTGCTTCACCAAGGACAATGTAGTCTTTGGACTTGACGGTCTAGATTCTAGGGTTTATGTTTTCTAGACCTCGGGATGCTGTTCATCACCGGACCGGCTGTTCATCCGCTGAGTTTTCCCGAAGTTCGATCGCCCTTCCCTGAACATGTCCGAACGTTCTGCTGCCCTCCATGTTTGTGTGGTGTTTTTTGTTTCACAGTATTCTTTGCGTGTGGGCCGTGTGGGATTTTCAACTTGTTTCCCAGTTTTTCCCAGTGGCGGATCCTCAGAAAGCTAATAGCAAGAAGCTACTAGGTGGAGGCCATCGCTATACTAGGTGACAGTCATTGCTATTAGGTTGGAGGCCATCGCTATACTAGGTGGAGTCCATCGCTATTAGGTTGGAGGCCGTCGCATATACTAGGTGACAGCCATTGCTATTAGGTTGGAGGCCATGGCTATTAGGTTGGAGGCCGTCGCTAGTAGGTTGGAGGCCATCGCTAGTAGGTTGGAGGCACTTGCTATACTAGGTGGAGGCCATCGCTATTAGGTTGGAGGCCATCGCTAGAAGGTTGATGGTATCCACCTAGTATATCGCTATTAGGTTGGAGGCCATCGCTATAGTAGGTTGATGGCCTCCACCTAGTATATTGCAATTAGGTGGCGGCCATCGCTAGTAGGTTGATAGCCTCCACCCAGTATATCGCTTTCAGGTGGGGGCCATTGCTAGTAGGTTGATGGCCTCCACCTAGTATATTGCTATTAGGTGGAG